AGGGCTGGGGAAGGGTTGGTGATGCAAAGGCTTCAAGAGTGGGCTAAGTAAGTTGAATAAGGAAGGGGCTTGGCTAGACTTAGCATGGGATGAGAGAAGAAAAACATTCAAGATTTGAGGGGTTTGGTACAAACCTGCTTAATCACCGTGGAGACCAGCAAAACTCAAAATCAAAATGTATACTTTCTGGCTTTTTTTAAATGACCTTAAGTTTTCAGCTTGCTTTACTATATTTCATAAAGAACATCATATCCAATGGTGGCATTGAACTTTTGAGGTTTGTGAAGATCTTGCTACAAATCTCAGTAATGTAAAAGGGTCAGAAAAGATCGATTTTATGTGACTAGCAAATAGAACAGGTTCCATGGCTGACCCTTGGTGCTTAAACTAGGAGGTTCCAATCTAGTCCTAGAGTTCAGTCCTGAAAGATCCAACTTCACGTGATTAACCTTAAACTGGTTATATACTTTGAGCCTTATTTAATTCAGATAATTTGAGTGTTTAGTCTTCTGTCTCCAGAATACTTACATTGGCTAGCAACCCATTACCTTTGGTGGCAACCAATTCTTGAAAGAGAAATTGGCTCTCTTGGAACTGTGGTATTCTGCAGAGCCACACTTAACCACTTTTTCTAGTGAAGTCTACCAAATATCCAAATATGGATGGCCAAGAAGAATTTACATCTACAGTGTTTTATGTATTTTTGACACTGCTGTATTCTGTGTTAGTGAATTGCAACTGGTTCCAATGTGACTAAGTGTTCTCAAAGAATTCTAGTAGCTAAGCCGACTTAATTTTCCTAAGCCTGATAATCCTATCAGTCTCACATTTACCACTTTAATTCCAGTCTTAACTGTTCATAACAGGGCAAATCAAGGGTTGGGATGATAGCCTACCTCCTACCTCTTATAGCACTTTCCTTATTTTGCCATATAACCTTGAAATGCATGTAATTTCCATAGATTCTCCCAGAACAAATAGGAAAGTGAGAGTCGGTTCCCACTCATAGCGACCTGGTATAGGATTTTGGAGGAGCAGCTGGGGAGTTTGAACCACCAACCTTGTGGTTCAAACAGACCTTACAGTTTGTATATGACATTAAATAGAAATTAGTGGAAAGGAGAAATTCATAGACTTAAGTTCAGAGATGTGAATTTCAAGAAAAACCTTCAAAGTGCACATAGCATTTGATACAGACAATGTATATGAGAAGAGAAACTTAACTGCCCTCTCAAAGTACATTAGTTCTGTATCTAATGAAAGTGAAGCTCTTTACTTCTATTGTCGCTATAGTGCTGATTGAACCATATACTAAGGTTCTCGAATTTAAAAGATTCAAGGTATTGCCATTCCCTAGCATCCTTCATGACTGTGTGATGAGTTTTTACTCTTAAAATTAAGTGCATTAATTAGGCTTATCTTAACTCTTACTCTAAACAAAAGTACACCTGTGGGGTGTAGTTATTTTGCTTTTTTGGCCATGGGTGTGAATAAGATGGGTATCTAAAACAGTTTTTAAAACAAAATCTCAAAATATTTTTCTACTCTTACTATATGATCTTACTTTATATTTAGTTTGTTTCTAGTAAGGCATGCCAGAAGCTCAAGGTACCATACCATGATTTCATATGTATTGTACCTTTTATTGGTGGTTAAATTGCATCAGATGCTTTGCATCGCTGCTATAATTATGAAATGCTTGTAAAGAATCAAATAACAGAATAAATTGTTTTACTTAAGAGTCTAATCTGGGAAGTTTTTGAATCATACTATTAACGTGTAATCAAAACTTTTTCCAATGTAAATCCATGAACCATCTTGGAACAATATTGCTTGTATTCCTGTCCTAGAACAGGTTTTGTAATCTTTAAAAGAAATGAAAATTTATATAATAAAGTTTCAAATAAATGCATGTATGTCCCATTTATCAGATTATTTCAATTACATGATGGTTAATTCCTTATAAAATCAAATTATTCTAAATCCCAAAGTATAGATTTGTGAAAATAGATTAATAGCACTTAAAGCCGGAATGTTTTTGAGGTAAAAAGTGCAAAATAGTTTTTTTTATGCAGTCTTGGTTAATCCAAAGGATTTGTAAAATTAACCACATAGTGAATTATGTTTTGGGCTGTTAACTGCATGTTCGGTAGTTCGAAGTCATCAGCTTGTCCATGGGAGAAAGAAGAGTCTCTCTGCTTCCATTGAGTTTTAAATTTAAAAAACAGATTTCCCTCTAAGCAATGTATGCGCAGATATTCAAAGGTAGTCATTTTTGTTCTGCAACATCCATCCCCCTTTTGCTCTTAATTGTTAAATGCAGTTGAGTTGGCTCCAACTCTCAGCAATTCTGTATAGGGTTCCTAAGGAGTGGCAGATGGGTTTGAAGCACGAACCTTGTGGATAGCAGTCCAGTGCTTATCCTACAGTGCCACACCAGCATTAGACAAGTTTAGTGAGCAGCCCCCATTCTCCGACCAGCCATGCTGCATAAATCCATAAATTCTAGATTTTACAGTAAGCTATTTAGACCAAGTGTAACCTGCCAAAAGCATGTTAGAGAAGACTAGCCATTTTCTTTTTGCTTGAAAATATTACTAAACCAATTACAATTGAGTTGACTGACTCATAGCAACCCCATGTGTGTCAAGAATAGACCTGTGCCCCATGAAGTTTTCAATGGTTTGATTTTTCAGAAGTAGACCACCAGGGCATGCTTCTGAGGTGCCTCTGGGCAGACGCAAACTGCCAACTTTTTGGTTAGCAGCCAAGCAGCCCTTGCACCACCCAGAAACTCTTTAAAAATGCTATTAGTGCAATTAAATTGAGATTTAATGTTGTTGTTGTTGTTATTAAGTGCCGTCGAGTCGATCCCGACCCATAGCGACACTGTGTAGGGTTTCTGAAGGGCAGCTGGTGAGCTTGAACCGCCAACCTTGCAGTTCAAACGGCTTTGCAGTCTGGCTCATTAACCCTCAGTGCCACACCAGGATAGTTTACAGTTAATCTTTTCCTTCCCCCTTGACATTTTGAGTTTGATATTTATGATGGCTTAGGAGCTATCCACTTTGATTAATTTAGGTATCCAGGATAAGATGAAGAGCTTCAAGATTTACTTGGCATTCATTATACTGTGGTACGTATGAATCATTTTGCTTGGATCCACTATCAACACATGAAAACGGCAGTCAAGAAATCAAACGATGTATTGCATTAGGGAAGTCTACTGCACATGTTGTTGTTGTCAGGTGCCATCGAGTCGGAACCGACTCATAGCGACCCCATGCACAGCAGAACGAAACAATGTCCGATCCTGGGCCAACCTCCCTACCGCTGCCACACGTGACACCATCA